CGTGTTGGCGGGGGACGTACAGGATGTCTAATATGATATGTGTAATATGTGTTACATAGCCAATACTCAGGGATGTTGTATATATTGTGTACAAATGAGATGACGTGCAATATGATATCAATTCCGATGTTTTATATTATGTTATTTGAAATGTTGTATTACCCTTTTGTGAGGCCTCTGTTTGGGGTCGTTTTGAGTCTTTTGTTATAGTCTGGTTTTCTAATAAAATGTTAAAAAAGCACGAGACTCTCGACCATTACACACCATACAGGAGATAATGCTAGAAGCGTTCACAATGTACAAGGGTGTAGGTTGTAGCCGCGTTGCTCTAAGGACATTGGCAGACAAGGTTCCTTGGGTGAATTTCCAACCCAAAGAGCTGGAGAACGTACAAGGAACCTTGTCTGCCGATGTCCTTGGACCAACGCGGCTACAACCTACACCCCTAGAAAATGTACTGTCATTTTCAAGCAAGGTTCTTTAAACAATATCTGTTATTAGACCAAATGAATAGTTGGGAAAAATGTGCTTTGCAAGCTTTTGGGGACTGGGAGACTTTGGTAATGTTCAAGGCAGGTAATGGATGCAGCATATACAAAGACCCAAGTCACTCTGAGGGAGGCTTAGCCAGCTTTCAGGTTCCCTGTCGGCGCTTCCTTCTGACAACCTGTCTCCAAATAAAGAAAGGCTTCAACTTTGACAGCCCGGTTCTCACTCCTTTGGTGGAGAGCTACAGTGAACAATAGAAAGTAAATAAGAAGATTTCTTTGCATACTGATTTGCATAGGGTGTTTTTTTCCAGTCTATGATACTTTGTCAGGAAATGATAATTTCATATTTAAGACCTAGCAACTCTGAACCGTGTATGCTAAGTAGACCAGACCAGGCTGGGATGTCTGTCTGTACTGGCGGCTACAGTCCTGGTGGCGGGGGGCATCCTTACACACACTGGGCATGTCCACACATTCATTAATGCGCATTAAGTTTAGTACCTCCAATAAGAGGTACTACATAAAGGCGCATTAGGCTGCCCTTATGTGCAGTAGCAAAAGCAAACGCTTTTAGTGACACCTAATGGGCAGTAGGGCCAACTCTACTCAGCACTAGCATATTAGCAGGTTTTGTCGTGATGCTTTAATGCACAGTAGAATAGGCTACTGCGAATTAAAGTGCATGGTTTCCCCCCACCTTCCAAACTAGCCAGGCTGAGAAGTCAAGAGCCTGAAAGCTGCTCTTTGCCCCGAGACTTAGCCACTCCAGTCAATACCCACCTGTTTTTTCTTTCATATGACAAAAACAGGGTCCGTATCTTTATCTTTGTGCATTTTGGTATTTTGGTCAATCCGGGAGCTCTTGCCGTCCGTGACGTTACCAGGGATCAGTACGTGGACGTGGCTCTCGTCGATCCCCGTTACCCACCTATTATAGATAGGGAAACTGAGGCATTGAGAAAGGCTGAGTAACAGCGTTAGGACCTAGAGGCCGGGATGTCACTCAGGAATGACTGGCTCCCATGAACCCTCTCCCCAGGTATCCACAGCTGTTAGACAGGAGCAGCAGGAGACTCAGCGTTAAAAAAAAAGAGACTGTTCTTGCGAGTATGCTTTTCTCCTGCAGAATCCTGAGGGAGGGGTGTCTAGGAGTCGGGGCAGATGTTCAAACCGCCCCTGCTTTAAACAAGAGACCACACACAGCTCAGAACAATGCTCCCAATTTGGAATCAGTGTGCTTTGTTATCCAAAAATAATTATGCAGAGAAACTGCCGGTCCCAGACAGCAACCCCTTTACTGGTGCTGCTCGTGTAGCAGATGCAGAACCTACATGCAGCTGAAAATTTCCATTTTTGTTTGCTGCCGATGAAGGAGGTGAGATGACAGAAACGAGCTGTCCCTGCACCTCTCAAACTTTGCACCGAGGTGGTGCATTATATTCTTGGAACTCAACACAAAATTAATCCTAGTACTCTATAAAGGGACACTGACGTATTCCAGGTTGCCTAGTCACACATTTCCCTTGGAGTTATTTTAGGCTCTAGAACCGAGCACTTCCCTGCATAGCACACACATCTTTGCCCGCGCAGAGAAAGGAGCTGGAGCTAGTGGTCTGTGCCAGGGCATACAACTCCAGGGGCAAATCTTATGGATGCCTCAGGGGTTTTGGCCCCTGTTAAACGAGGCTATTCATAGAAGTAGGGTCGGAAGGGACCTTGCAGATCTTCTAGTCCGACCCCCTGCCCTGGGCAGGAGAGAAAACTGGGCTCAAATGACCCCGGCTAGGTAATTGTCAAGCCTCCTCTCAAAGACCCCCAGGGTAGAAGCCAGCACCACTTCTCTTGGAAGTTGGTTCCAGATCCGAGCCGCCCTGACAGTGAAGTAGCGCCTCCTGATATCTAGCCTGAACCTGCTCTCTAACAACTTATGGCCGTTATTTCTTGTCACTCCTGGGAGTGCTCGGGGGAACAAGGTCTCTCCCATTCCCCGCTGGTCCCCCCTAGTAAGTTTATAGACGGTCACCAGGTCCCCCTCAGCCTTCTCTTATGGAGGCTGAACAGGTTCAGGTCCCGTAGCCTCTCCTTGTAGGGCCTGCCCTGCTGCCCCCTGATCATGCGGGTGGCCTCCTCTGGACCCTCTCCACGCTGTCCACATCCCTCCTGAAGTGCGGCGCCCAAACTGGATGCAGTACTCCACCTGCGGCCTGACCAGTGCTGCATAGAGGGGGAGGATCACCTCCTGGGACCTGCTCGTGATGCATCTGTGGATGCATGACAAGGTACAGTTAGCCCTACTGACCGTGTCCTTGCATTGGCGGCCCACGTTCATCTTGGAATCGATAATGACTCCAAGATCTCTTTCTGCCACTGTGCTTTCAAGACCCCAGCCTGTAGGTATGGTGCTGGTTCTTACTCCCCAGGTGCAGCACCTTGCACTTGTCAGTGTTGAACCCCATCCTGTTCTCATTTGCCCACCCATGTAACCTGTCCAGGTCCAGCCGTATCCTGTCCCTCCCTTCTAGCATGCCCACCTCACCCCAAATCTTGGTGTCATCTGCATATTTAAACAGGGTGCTTTTCACCCCCTCGTCCAAGTTGCTAATAAAGAGATTGAACAGTGCAGGCCCAAGGACCGAGCCCTGGGGGACCCCACTGCTCACTTCCCTCCAAGTCGAATATGACCCGTCCACCACCACTCTCCGAGTACGACCCCTCAGCCAATTTGCAATCCATCTAACTGTGTAGGCATCGATGCCACAGTCGCCTAGCTTTTTAATGAGAATGGGGTGGGAGACGATGTCAAAGGCACCGCACAGGTGTGAGGACTAAATCGTACAGAAGTGTTACTATGCCATCCTTGCCCATATGTCCTGATACGGGATATACGTCAGGTAGATGTATGGGGACCAACAATTATGGCACAAATGTGCATTTCTCTTCCAGAACAGCAAAGCTGCCCACTCAGCCTCCTCGTGTGCAGTTCATGTCTGCTTGCCCAGATTCCCCCTCTGTATAGCTACTGTACGCATTATGTTCTACCCCAGCGTTAGCAACTGCTTCCCTTCAGACTGAGAAATCCATTCAGCTGAGGAACGGAGAGGAGGGGAGCGGTCTGAATGAGCTTCCTACCCCCACCCCTTCTTTAATGCACATGCTTGCTGGACAGCGTTTCCCTGGATGTGCGCACTAGGCTCATTTCCACCCCCCACCCCATGGTGTCTATGACCACTGCTGTAGAATCCTAGACGTGCCTGGAGCAGAACTACGGCATTGCCGTATAGGTGTGCCGCTTCCTTCTCCTTAACTAGCTGCTCCTCCTGTCAATCAGCCCCTGCACACACCTGCTGTACAGGCCTGGGTAGAGATGGAACTAAACCATACTTCAGCTAGGAAGGGCTCTGCTGGAATAGGTGCTCTCTAGCACGTCTACCTCACTGAGACGGACCCCAGTGACAAGCAAATAGGAAAGTAGCTTCACTATGCCAAGCGCCGGGCAAGGCTAACTCACTCTCTCAACACAAGACCTAATGAAAGGAGAGGGCTGGGGTGGCAGCTACATTTGCTAAGCCCAAGACAAGCCATCTGAGCCTCAAATCACTTCTGCTTCGCAGTTTGCTGACTGGGGAGAGACACCCCAAGAAAACGTAAACACAGATGGGGCCATCCTCAGCCAGCCGACGGGCTGCGTGGCCACAGCGGCTCTGCAGGGTTCGACGACCCGGGTACCTGGAGTCTTTCATTCCTCGGTGGTTCGGTGACAAAGCACCACAAGATGGCACCGTCGCACAGGCAGCCCATCAAACACGGCAGGCTAGTAAGGATTCTGTCCCGACAGCCGCCTGCTTAGTGAGAAGTGTCCCGAAATACCTGTCACGCTCCTGCTCCCACCTTGTCTCACATAACAGGGTCGCTCCAAGGGGCTATAGGATGGGCTGAGGCCACGGCTCCGGTGGTTCTGCAAAAGCCAAGACCAGGGTACGTTTCCTAGAGCAGGTGAGGTTTACGACATCGGAGAGGAAAGGGGAAAACCACCACGCTAAGGAACAGAGAGCTTGGGCAAAAAAGGGGGGAAAAAAAAAGAAAAATCAATTTGAACGTGTTGCATCTCTCCTCCATGCTCTCAATAACCAGTGGAGGGTGCAGAGCCAGCCTCCCTGCACCGGGCTAAGCCAATGGCACTGTCCTACCATACCCTAAGGCAGCATTTCTCAACCGGTGGGTCGTAAGAATATATGAAAGGGTGGTGAACAAACTTTAAAAAAGTCAAACTCTAAAAATGGATTCTCCTTTAAAGAGGAAAAATGTGGGAACCGGTG